ATATGAACTTGCAAATAAAGCATCATCAGTGAGAAAAAGCCAAACTCCCGTACTGCCTTTGTTGGGATGATGTGACTTACTACGAGGGTCCTGCAACAGGCGAAGTGAACCAAACCATTTATATCAATCCATCTTTGAACAGCCAGGGCATCTCTCACTTCTGGCTAAAGCTCTGATGGGAAGGCACACAGAAATCACAACAACAGGTAGGATTTGATGTTAACAGCAAAGTAGACATGTTTCAACTGAGGTTGGAGTGGTAAGAGCCAAAGCCACAGTCAGTCCCTTGTCACTGTCCTGTATCCTGGGCTGACTTTGGGATAAGGGAAGGGAGGAAACAAACCACCTGAACGTTTAGGCCTTCATTTCACTTGCTGCACAAGATGCTGTGTTGACAAGCACACACGTGAACTGCTAAAAGCTCACTGACAACAGCACAAAAAAAAAAAAACTCTTTGGTTCACATTTTCTTCTTAAATGTTTTTTTGCATACTCAATTCTTTATGATGAAAGATGGTCTAAATTCACAGAGCAGTACTGAGTTAGGGACGAAACAGAGAAAGGCCGTGTAGCTGAAGCAGTCTGTGAAGTCACTGGCTTTATTACACAGGCACACATCCAGACAGCTACCCTAGAGCGGAGCCCACACTGGATTCCTCACATCTCCAGTTTGTATCCAGGGACAGTGTTCAACTATACTTTTCTCAGTTAAACTCAAAGCTAAAAAGACTAACCATTTTAAAAGCAATGTGCAATATATATTAGCATTTCATTGTTTTAAAGTAACAATTTAAACATATATTCACTCACATGAACATGAACACACTACAGTTAAGTCAAATCGGACATATTTGTCTTTTTTAAATAAGAAAATCTCCATACCTTCTCTTTAATATCCTTTTTTAAAGATATTAGAAGGGCCCGGCGCGGTGGCGCAAGTGGTTAAGGTCTTCGCCTAGCACGCCCGGGATCCCATATGGGCGCCGGTTCTAATCCCGGCAGCCCCGCTTCCCTTCCAGCTCCCTGCCTGTGGCCCGGGAAAGCAGTCGAGGACGGCCCAAGGCTTTGGGACCCTGCACCTGCGTGGGAGACCCGGAAGAGGCTCCTGGCTTCGGATCGGCATAGTATCGGCCCGTTGCGCTCACTTGGGGAGTGAATCATCGGATGGAAGATCTTCCTCTCTGTCTCTCTTCTCTGTATATCTGCCTTTCCAATGAGAAAATAATAAAAATAAATCTTTAAAAAAAAAAAAAAAAAAAAAAAGATATTAGAAGACCTTCCATCCACTGGTTCACTCCCCAAGTGGCTGCAACAGCCGGAGCTAAGCTGACCCAAAGCCAAGAGCCAGGAGCTTATTCCTGATTTCTCATGTAGACACAGAGTCCAATGCCTTGGTCCATCCTCTGCTACTTTCCCAGGCCTCAACCATGGAGTTGGATGGGAAGAGGAGCGGCCAGTGACCATATGGGATCCTGAGGCCATTGAGCTATTGAGCCAGGCCCATTATCCTTTTAATTTACAAAATATTGATTTTAAAGGAAGAGAGACAGCAACAAAGAGTTCCCATCTGCTGGCTGCCTCTCCCAACACCAGCAACAAGCAGGGCGGAGACCTCGAGGTCTCCCATGTGGGTGGCAGAGGGCTCCTAACAGAACAATCATACTTGTCTCTCAAGATCTGCATAGCAAAAAAGAAGGAATCAGGAGCAGAGCTGGGGCTCCACCCAGGCAATCCAGCAGCATCTTAACGATTACAAACACCTGCCATGATGAATATTGCTTTTCAACTTGCAGGACACTGTTACACTTTCCTACTTAAAAGAATTTAAGTCAAAAGATACTTGGGGAGGGACAGGTGTGATGTTTTAATTGGTTAATTCTCCACTTGTAAGCACTGGGATTCCACATGGGTCTGGGTTTATGTGGTGGCTGTTTCCCTTCCCATCCAGCTCTTTGACAGTGGGTGGCCTTGGAAGGAAGTGAAGGATGGCCCAGGGCCTTGGGATCCTACATGTGTGGGAGACCCAGAAGAAGCTCCTGGCTCAGCAATAGATTGGCTCAGTTCTAGCAACTGAACGTCTAAGAGTATGTTTTGGAATGTGCTCTTTAAATTATTCTGAACTTTGAAATGTAACAATGTTACAGTTTTAACCTTGGTAATTTTAACACTTGTAATCATAACATCCCTATACCTTGACACCTTCATCTGCCTGTGTAGGTAACTTTGCCTGAACTACAAGTGGAGATAATTTGACACATCAGAGGTTAATTTGGAAGTATCAGCTGAACATAATTCACATGACCTTCAATGAACTCATTCAATTTCCAGAACAAGGATTGAGTGGCAGTGTGTAAAACTACCACTTGTGATGCCTGCCTCCAATTTCAGAGTGCTAGTTCAGGTCTGGCTGCTCGAGTTTCAATCCAGCTTCCTGCTGCTGATGGCCTCATTGAGTGGATCCCTGCCAGTCACCTATGGGCCTCTAACGGAGTTCAGGTTCCTGGCTTTAACACGTGCCAAGCTCAGTTTCCAAGCATTTTTTTTCAATAATTTATTTATTTGTATTGCAAACTCAGATTACAGAGAGACAAAGAGGAAGATCTTCCATCTGCTGGTTCACTCCCCAAATGGCCGCAACAGCCAGAGCTGAGCCAATCCATTGTCAGGAGACTGGAGCTTCTTTCAGGTCTTCCATGCAGGTACAGGGTCCCAAGGCTTTGGGCCGTCCTTGACTGCTTTCCCAGGACACAAGCAGGAGGCTGGAAGAGAAGTGGAGCAGCCGGGACACAAACTGGTGCCCACATGGGATCCTAGCACATGCACGGTGAGGACCATAGCCACTAGGCTACCACACACCAGGCCAGGGTACAGGTATTTTGAGAGTGGATCAGCAGATGGGAGATCTGCTTCTCCTGTCATTTTTGCTCTTAAACAGATAAATCCTCGTTAAAATTTACACTTCTGTAAAATCTTCCTACAAAAATATAAGCAGTGTTTAATAATTTGGGGTGGCCCTATGGCATAGTCAGTAAACCTGTTGTGCCAGCTTCCCACATAGGCACCAGTTCAAGTCCTGGCTAGTCCACTTCCAATCTAGCTCCCTGCTAACGTGTTTGGGAAAGCAGCAGGACTGCCCAAGTCCTTGGGATACTGTACCCACATGGGAGATATCTAGAAGAGGCTCCTGGATCCCAGTCAGCTCATTTCTGACTGTTGTGGTCATTTCAGAAGTGGACCAGCAGATGCAAGACCTTTCTTTCTCTCTCTCTCTCTCTCTTTCCTTCTTTCTCTCTGTAAATCTGAATGTCAAACAAAAATAAAGAAATCTTAAACAAAAAGGAAATTCTCTGTAGAATTAATATTCTCCAAACTCTTAAAAGGGGCCCAGTGCATCGGCCTAGCGGCTATAAGTCCTCTTATTGTAGGAGCTGGGATCCCATGTGGGTGCTGGTTCTAATTCCAGTTGTTCCACTTCCCTTCCAGCTCCCTGCTTGTGGACTGGGAAAGCAGTAGAGGATCGTCCAAAGGCTTGGAACCCTGCATCCACATGGAAGACCTGGAAGAAGCTCCTGCCTCCTGGCTTCAGATCGGCTCAGCTCTGGCTGCAACGGCCGCCTGAGAAGTGAATCAGCAGGTGGAAGATCTCTGTCTCTCCTTCTCTCTATAAATCTGACTTTCCAATTAAAAAAAAAAAAAACCTGCTAGCAAACAGCAGTAGGATGGGTATTTTTCTCAGCAGTTACACAGCTGGCTGGCACTGCCACATCTCAGAACAGAACATCCTGAGTGGAGACCCCAATTCTGAATCAAGCTTCCTGCTCATGCAAACCCTGGGAGCAGCAGGTATATAAGATGTCCATGGAAACCCAGGCATTCAGCTTCAGGCTAGCACAGCCCTGGCTGGTGGGAGCATTTAGGGAATGAACCATTAGATGAGAGATCTCAGGTGTTTTTTTTCCCCCAAATAAATAAATTTGCAAATAAAAACAAATGATAATAAAAATAGAAGTTTAAACTTCACAGCTATGGTAAGAGTTCATAGTTTTTGAAAACTACTGCAAAACTACGTATTAAAGGGGAGATAATACAGTGAGAAACCCAGTAAACTGTAGTTATCAAATAGGTTAGTTTGAAGAGACTCAACAAAACTCAGATGTACTCAAATACTTTAGGCTATATAGTTTGAGAAAACAAAATCAAACAGACAGACAAAAAAACAAAGTCTGGTAAAAAACCGTTGTGAAAATGATGAGCAATACTGTGTTGGTCAAATTATTTTAATAGAGTTACTAATGATTCTTTAAAGATATTTTGAAACGTAACTTGAAACAGTGAGAAGTCACTCATTATACAGCCAAATCAACCACGAGCGACAGACCTGAAAGAGACTTCAGAAACTTAGTCAACGCCATCACTTCATAAGATGCAGAAATGTAAAATGAGATGAAGCTGTAAGAGCGACAGCATTCTCTCCATTATGCCCTGCTACCACTCAGGAGACCAAATACAACTAAAAAGAGTCAAAAACTTCAAATATATACTCAGAAAATCATGAATAAGACATAAATGAATCTGGAATTGTTTACAGGAAAAGTTTACAGAGAAATACAAGCCCCCCAAATGTAAAAGCCCCGGGAGGATGATGTTTTTAAAAACATAAGGGTTCCCAGTTTGGACTTTGCTGCTGTCTGATTGCTTTGTGTGGTACTATACCCTATCACAGAGGTTACAACGCTACTCACAGCACCACAACAAGAGGGGTGAAAAAGCCAAGTTGCATACATAGGAAATCTGAAAGACCAGGCTATCAATATATGCTAAAAAGTAAGTAAACGTCTCAGTTTGTCTTGAGCCACCCCCTCAGTCAGATATGACCAGAAGCTGCAGCTCGCCATGCTAACAGTCCATGCGGCAGACAATATTCTTTTGTGAGCTCAGGCATTGGCTCTCAAAGGAGTCCTTTGTTTGAGCTCAGGTCTCCACGTCTCATGAAGTCTTACCTGGGGTAGTAGGCCGTGTAGTTCATGAACAGCTGAGTGCCTGCTGGGTAGTACGCTGCAGAGGGCTGCAGTGCGCGGGGATTCAAAAGCACAGAGGGCTGATAAATGGCAGCTTCGGTGGGGATCACTGCGGCAGGGGCTGGAAATGTGTAGGAGGGAGGAGACAGGCCTACATAAGCAGAGAGAGAGAGAGAGCCTTTGAGACATGCTTTCCAGCTGACACGACATCCAGCACTGAATCACAAACATTTCAAAGAAAGAGACCAGGCAACCTTGTTTTGCTGATGTATGTAACACACACAGTGATCCTAAATGTCTCACTGCCAAACCAAAGAACTGTTACTGGGCTAAAATTCGGGGAGCAAAGAAAACATCGAGGGATTCTTTATCTATTTAACAATCTCACAACACGTGATTTTTTGTTTTTCACAATCTTGAGTACCTGTTACCATGAGCCAACCTGCAAAGGTACGTCCCATGGGACTATTATTTAGTATTTCAACTTAAGTACTGGACTTCCCTTTTATCTGAATCATGTTGCTACTCCATCTCATTATCTGCCCTGAGAACAGCATGAAATGGAAAAGGTCGTGATAAAACACTCTGCTCCACTGCCCTTTAACTAGGGTACAGCTTGTGCCAAGTGAATGGACTTAGAAGGAGCTGATCGGCCATGTTACCTTCACTTAAATGGAACTCAGAAGATGGGCTCTGAAGCTATTCCCTAGTTCCAGAGCTATAAACAGAAAATTCCAACCAGGAGGCCAGCCTTAAAGTCACAGCCATGAATCTGCTGATAAAAACTGGCTAAGACACAAGAGCAAATGGACTTTCCTTTGTCTTCTGGTGATGTTCCAGGCTCGGAAACTCCCTTGAGGTAGACCGCTTGCTGGTTGCTAGCTTTAACTAGTAGGATGAACATGACTATCTGAGCTGCCTGTCCCGCACAGAAGAGGCAACAGAAACTCACTCCACGTGCTTTCTGCCTTCAAGCTTTGCCTGAACCAACCCTGTGTTGCAAATAGCGGGGGACCATGGGGTAACATGGAAAACTCCGAACCATCTCTGGTTCCTGTAAGTTTCTACATTTTCATGGAGATGAACAAGATGGCCAACTGAATCTAGCTATGCAGACTGAGGCCAACTTCCAAAGACTAGTGCTTCTTTCATTCTCCCCAGAAACTGTGCTACATGTTAGATAACCACAAACCTCTAAATTAGCAGCCTCGGCTTTCAAAAAGCACAAATTAAGGTACCTACATTTTATGGTAAAGTATACTGCTTGGGCTCTGATTCTGCTTCCCAAACTATCCAGCAATCCTGTCTAGGACAGTGCCTCATGCTAGCAACACGCAGTAGGTATAGGTCTCCTCTACTTTAGAACAAAGAAAGGCATTTTTGTAACTGAAGAGATTAGGCTGCTAAAATTTTAATATTATTTAAATGAAAGGATAACCATTCTTTACATTTCTAACAGAATCTGATGTCAATACAGCTACAAAAATAAAGCTAAACACATTCATTCTCTATGAATTTTAGTAACAAACAGAAATCAATAAAACGGGAGCAACATTTCTTTGCCAAATTCAACAAAGAACTCTTTTACCATTTTTGCTGTTTTAGTATTTGAGCTTAATATGCTAAATTTCTGTGAGTGCTGCCCAGAACAGGTGGTTCATTTTTGGAAAATACAAAGATAACCACAGATATGGAAATATCTTTAAGTGAAATACAAATTTTAGATATTCCCTGTTTTTAGGATTTGTGATGGAGGGGAAAGAAAGGAAATAACATCTGTAAATACTTGCTTTCCACCAGGAAGTCAGAATGAAGGGCATCAAAGCAGCAGCATGAGGGTTAACAATGAAGAAATTCCTTCACCTCATTAATGCTTAATAGGACGTCATAAAAGCTAGTGACATTGTCAGTGGTTTGCAGACGGAAGACATACTACTACGATTATTTTTAAGATACTTCTTAAACCCAAGAATAAATTCTCAACACTTGATACTCATTAAGAACCAACAATTGAATATTGACCAACAGCAAGCAGCAGATAAATGGTTGATTAGCATTTAGGAATTCCAAAGGGGAAAAAAGGGATTAAGCCCCACTGATGTTCTACAAGTAATGCCTATGGAACAGGCTTAAGGTATAGCTTCCCATTTATAGCAAGAATTCCCTTCATTATTGAATTCAAGCACATGAATCTGGGTTTACCTCCTCAGTTATCTTTTCACTGTGTTCGAAATACTACATTCTTTAAACATACCCAACATGCTTAACAAGGTATGTCGTAGTCCTAAGTCCAAAGTGCATTTACAAGAGATTCAAGATTTAACATTAGATCCCCAAATGATCCTTGGTCACTAATTAGAATCGATCTCCCAACCACAGGGCTTTTTCCTCTCAGGATTCCAAGATGGCTTGTACCCAGTTGCCCAGGAGCAAGAGAATGGCTTGAAATTAAGCACTGATCCTGCGATCCAATGGAAACTGATTCACATACACATTTACAGTTTTCACCAACTTGCTTATTCCAGGTATCCTTGGGAGCAATAGAACAACTCTAGATTGCTAATCATGTCCCAAAAAAAAAAAAAAAGAGAGAGAAAAACTTGATTGATGTTCCAAAAGTCAAATGCAAAATGGGCATCAAAACCACCCTTTTTAAAAGCTTCATCTGTTCAGAAAAACAGATCCTATCATAGGAGACTTTACCTTCCTATGTGCATTAACATTTATATAGCCAAGTTACGTCCCAGGGTCAGTGCTTATCTGGAGCACACTAAGCTTCAGGAATCAAGCGCTTATCACTGGAAAAGCAAGAATATAATTTGAAAGGAGGTTTTATAGCATCTCTAAGTATGGGTATCCACAACCAAGGTCTTAGATGACGATTACCAGATACTACTGATTTTAGATGGGAGAGCCTGTTGTAACCACCTCACCTGCTTCCGAAAGACCCAGGGGCACAGAAAGGTACGCAAGCAGCTTAAGCACCTACCAGCATACAGCGTAGAAGAGCGCCAAGACCCAAGAAAAACTTACATGGTAACTTACATGGCGGTGGGGATAAGCCATTTCGATTTAAAGTGCCCCCCATTAACACAAAGTTCATCTCCTCAGCTGAACACTGAAAGACTTCAACATATCTGTCCTTCATGGTTTTTTTATGACACTTCTGTGCAGCCAAAAATGCTCTGTCCGCAGACTTCATCTGGATAAAGGCATCTCCTGATGGGCGGCCCTGAGTGTGTAGGGGAAGAATAAAAAGAAAAGGAGACTGTCTCCTTCAACAAGGAAACGAATGCTTGCTTACCAAACAGGCAAAGTGACAATCACCCATACTACCGACATGTTAGCCACAAAAACCGGGTGATGGTTTGATCCATTGAAATCTGACTTTCATCACCTAATCACCATAATGGCCCACAAAACCTTGGAGAAGCAATTTTAAGAGCTTCTAGCTGAAACTGATCTCTTTGTTTGGTTTTTGTTCGTTACTATCAGATTTAGTTTTAAAAGGGTCTCTGTGACTGTGATTTATGGGGGCAAGACTATGATGATGGATTCTTTTTTTGTTTCCCCTATTGAAAACTAATTAAATCTCACTGGATTGAGAAATCAGTAGCAGGATCACTGTTACAGCTTTGCACAGCCTTCTCCAGCACACCGAACAAGCCAGTGTTCTGCTTCAGACCTCAGTTCTAGTATAGCTCTGATCTGCCACAGGCTTCTCATTCTGCCCTTGTCTCTGCAGCCTAGAGTGGTAGGCACTGAGAATAGCAAGTCACACTGAGGGCTGGCAAGAAGCAAATCATCAGCCTCACCTGGGAGCCCAACCCTCACCTCCTCCTCTGCAAACTTTGCTCAACAATTGATAGACATTCCCACGAATAGCAGCTTCCTTACTAAAGTCTATATTTAAAATCTGGCCTTAAAATCAGATTCATGGTACTAGAATGCCTTAGTTTTATTTAGTAATAACATTGCATGGGGGAAAAGACACATCAGTGTATGAGAATGCTTTCTTATTTATCTCTGGAAGTTTCTTAGGAACTAGTTGGTCTAAATCATTACCATGCAAGTTACCGTAAGAGTTGCCACCAGGGAAATTAGCACCAACCCCACTCCAAGATGGAAACCTAAAATTTTTAAGACAGCTAATAGTTGTCCATCAATGAAGAGCATCTTTCCCAAGTGCAGTCACAGTAAGTCACATGGGTTAATAACAGGAAAGTCTCTGTACTGGTATTAATCAAGGAATAATTATCCCAGGTTGTTAGAAATGGTGACTCCTATCGCAATCTACTGATTTCAGGGTCATGTGAAATTGTGGAGAATATTATACAAAAGGATTCCCATCATTGAAGCATGCTGAGATGCTACAGGCCATAGCCAAATTTGGAGAGCTCAATAATGACTTTGGAGTAAGAACATGTATTGGTGAAAAAAATTAAGCAAAGGGCCAGCATTGTGACACAGGTTAAATTGCCACTTGTAATGACAACATTCCATATTCCAGTACTGGTTTGGGTCTTAGATAACCCACATTTGATCTAGATTCCAGTTAATCCACCTGAGAAAATAGCAAATTATGGTCCAAGTACTTGGACCCCTGTCTCACATCAGGCAGACTCCTAGCTTCAGGCTTGTGGTCTTGGCCTGGCCCAGAACTGGCTTCTCTGGTGCTGTGGCCATCTGGGGAGTACAGTAGTGGACAGAAAATCTCTTTGTGTTTCAAATGAATCTTAAAAAAAGAAAAGTAGCAAGGCTTTGGATGTTTGCTAATACTGTATACCCGGAGACATGTACTTTCCAATGACGTAAGAAAATTGTTATGACAATGACCAAATCTCCATGGAAAAGGCAGGAAATCTGCCACCTGCACTGCCAGCACCCTCAGTGGTCTGAGTCCCAGCTGTTCCCTTTCTGATTCAGCTCCCTGCTCATGCACTCAGGAAAGCAGTGAAGGATGGCCCAAGTGCTTGGGTCCCTGTGATCTGCATGGGAGAGTCAGATGAAGCTTCAGTCTGGCACAATCCTGGCTCTTGTTGTCCAGCTGGCAAGCGTACTAGTGAATGAAAGACCTGTTTCTCCCTGTTGCCTTTTAATTAAGTAAGTAAACCTTAAATATATACAGAGTGTATTAAACACCAATTATGACCAATTTTAATGTTCAGAAGACACTTTTTAACACAACTTTGTTTCTAATAACAAGTTCCAAAGTTCTAATTACAACTAGTTTGCTTATGAATTTTGGAACTTCTGCCTGCTTACAACAGAATAAAATGTTTCAAAATTGTCTCACAACTAATATGATTTATTTTGATTGTCTGAAAATCAAGTCACACCAAGCCAAGAAACACTTCACATTTACATGCTGAAGGAAACGGTTAGATTTTGATGGAATGATCCCCATTCTGTTCTAATTGGTGTGGATCCAAGTACTCACTGAATGCACATTCTACTGAATCTAATTAGATGCTTATACATATGAAATAAAGTAAACCATTGCTGGATAGTCTATGAGTGCAAATGTTCTGAGCTACTGGCATGCTTATCGGCTTAACTATCATTTTCAGTTGCTGTGACGCTAGAACAGGAATGTTACAGAGTTCAGTAGTTGCAACAGGAAAAAGTCAAGTGTGCTGACGGATCATTCAAAGGATAAGTATGACAAAGGAATTAGACCTAAATTTGAATGGTCATAAGAATGATAGCATTCTTGCAGAGTTTGCCCTAAAGACCTCTTTTCATTTGTTGCATTTTTTCCCCTTAAGGCTTGGCATATAACTGTGGGATAATTGTGTTCCTTTTTATAGGAGAACCTTTAATGATCAAAGTTAAGTTTTCTGGATGGCGACTTTCTTACCTGGTGATTCAATACCATGTGAACCCCATGAGTGCGAATATCTGTAGCGAACTCCCCCAGGAAGTCCAGGATATCCTCTATCGTGGCTGCATAGGGAAGACCTCGAAGGCGTATACAGTCTCTAACATTTGTAGGAGGCACAAACTGCTGAGGTAGCACTGGAATAATGGGAGGGGTTGGAAGTGGGATGAGAGGGGCCGAGGAGAAGCGATTCAGCACCTGTACTCGAAACAAAATGGAAATGAGTCAGGTCAGAGCCTTTCCATGGCTGGTCTGTAGATTGACACCGGAATTATGGTCAGTCCTACCTTAAACCCCTTCCATACAAATGAGCGCCTCGACAAGGTTCTAGCTGAATCACATCAACATTAAACTCTGAACAGAACTGTTGCAAAATATTACTACCCAACCTTTGTCAGCTACACAATGAAACATACACAACCTGATGCCCTTAGATGAAGGATGTTGTCTAGTTGGGACAAACGCATCGCTGTTTACCTTGGGATAAAGTCCCTTAAAACCAAAATCCTAACTCCTGAATGCGGACTGTGGGAGCAATTTATTAGATTTCACTTCACTAAATAAACATTATACTCCTAAATATTGTCTTTACACTCAATTCTAAACCCTAGGAAAAAAAAAAAAAGACAGACCCTATACAGAAAACAGGCCAAATAAAGACTATATACTATAAAACATAAATACCACAAAATAGAACACGAAATAATGACTGGATAATTTCAAACATGAAAAAAAAATTTCGGGGACCACAAAGGACAATAATAACTCAGTTTCCATGTGAATTTCTAGACAATACCAAGAAAGGAACTTGAGAATCTTGGGTTCAGGGAATGTGGCCATTTTAAGAATGGATTATGGTTGGTCAGGTATTTTGCTCAAAGAACTGATTCTAGGCAAAGCCGCATGACACTCGTCTTTTTCTGTCTGAGAGCATACTACCTAGTCACCAACACTAAGGTAGGTCCGGGTGCAAACAGCATTCATGGTATCTGCAGTTCTGGGTAACTTCACCACCAAAACCTTTAACATTCTATCAGTGGACAAGAATGGAAGAACCAGCAACCATCTCAAAACTGCGTACTAATGCCCCCAATTCATTTCATTTAGCTGATTGAAAAACCAGTGAAGGGGAAAGGGGGAAAAAAAACCAAGGAACACAAAGGCACAACTAAAAATGCCACAGAGAAATGAGTACTTACAAAACTATGCACTCTAAGATGCAACAGAAGATATAAAGAAAAAGAATAGAAAGTCAATGTAATTCTTGGCAAACTCAGGACAGGAAATGGTTAAACACCTTACAGCATTTGCAAAATAGTAGGAAATCAAGTATTTATTAAGTGTGCCTTAGTGATGAAAACAACTCAGTGGCAGAGTTTATTACTACTTTAATACTTGTCAGGCAAACCAGGTGGGACAGAGAAACAAAGAGGAAGCTCACACTGTATCCTTGACACTGTGTAACAGCCCAGGAGGTATGAACACGCTCTCCAGACTTGAGTAATTACTCTAGGTTATACTATACAATGGTGGGCTGCATGAACTAGATACACTGATTTGATGAATTCACATAAATACTAAGAGTAAGTATCCTAAATGGTTACAAAAGAGGTTGAAAGAATCTACTAAAAGGACTGTGTTCTATTGTGGTAAATAAGCTGATTCAGTTCAAAGAGACACACAAAGGAGAAAATGCGATCTCAGTACAAACGAAACGCAAACAGAGCCAGCGTCATGCTGTGCTGCTCTAAGCCTCTGCCTGAGGTCCCTAGTTCCAGTCCTGATTACCCTAGCCCTACTCGGATCCCTGTGAACTGTTTGCCAAGCACTGGAGGATGGTTCAAGTCCTTGCGCCCATATGAGAGACCCCAAACAAGATCCAGCCACGTGGACTGAACCAGCAAATGGAAGGCCTCTTTCTCTCTCCTTCTCTCTGTAAAAATCTGCCTTCAAAACATAAATAAATCCTTAAAACAAAGCAAAAAAAAAAAAAAAAGGGGGGGTGGAGGAGGGGAAATAACCTCTGAATACACACTCAGGTAAGGCAAGCAAGGTCAAACGCTTGGGATCCTACGGCTGGATGGCTTCTTGCCCGAGTCTTAGCACATTTTGGGGAAGTGACAGGTCCAGTGTCACTTTAAAAACAACTCTGCAAGGCCAGCACTGTGGTGCAGCAGGCTAAGCTGCAGCCCCAGGTGCTTTACTTCCAACCCAGCTCCTTCTAAATGCACCTCAAAGAACAGTGGAAGACGGCCCATGTACATGGACCCCTACTATCTACGTGGGAGAACTGGATGGAGTCCCTGGGACTGCTAAAGTCTGGCCCAGCCCTGGTCAGTGCAGCTATCTGAGAAATGAACCAGCAGAAGGAATATCTTTTTGTCCCTTCCTCCGTAACTCATTTAAATAAGCAAAAGCAACAACTGCGGATGGGGCATTGTGGTGCAGTGAGATAAGCAGCTGTGTGGGGTGCTCACATTCTACATCAATGTGCCTAGGATCAAGTCCTGCCTCATTTCGAATCCAGCATTTTGTTAACGTGCCTGGGAGGCAGCAGATAATGGCCGAAGGGCTTGAATTTCTGTCACACATGCAAAAGACATGGAGGTCCCGGCTCCTGGCTTTGCCTTGGCCCAATCCTGGCTATCAAAAACAAAAACCCAAACAACTATGTATTTTAAAACCTAACAGAAATAAAACAGAAGGTCACCAGCAAGCCATGAAAGTTATCAAACAAGAAAACACATCTCGCAAGAAATTTAAATTTGCAAAATTTCACACTGCATGTACAGTCATAAGAAAACCAATTAGAAAGTCATCAGAATTTTAAAAACATAAACATGCAGAAATTTCTTCAGGCAGGGAAAATGCAACCCAAGGAGAGTGATTTTTAAACTCCATGTGACACATTAACTGTGCAGACCTGGGTAAGATTACAATAAATGCAGAAGTATACCTATAACATTGCTCCAGTTATATAAAAACACACAGTATGGTTTCTCTGGGTTATGGAACCACTGGTTCCATGCCCTTTGATTTTGTACATTCTGCAAGTTGTGTTTTCATACAATGACGAGCAGAAGGTTGTTTTTCAAGGTGAAGGACAGAAAAATGTGCAAGTGCCAATGTCATCTTAATAACCAACCTGCTGAACTTCTGCTGCCGTGCTCCTGAAGAGTTCAATGTATCGTTTACCCAACAAGTCCTTATGCTTCCTCAACGCGTTCTGTGCATATTCCTCACAGGCAAAGAGGACAAAAGCATCCCCTGTTGGCCTACCATCTGGGTAGGTGACAAACAGGATACCTTCCTTCCCCCCAGTGATGGGGCAATGCTGTCCAAAGAAGGCCACCACTTCTTCAGCTGTGGCTGTGAAAGGCAGCCCCCGCATGCGCACGATGACCTGATTCTCCTTGGAGAGAAACTGTGCTACTTCATTGGATGTCCCTGGAGAAAACAAACATTAAGAAGCAAGGGGAGAAAAGAGTTAAAGTATCACCTTTACTCATGTAAATGTAGCAATTCCCTGGTGATATCTTGAATATATAATCAAGACCCACACACACACACTGAATTCATAATGACCAAGATCCTAGGAATCAGAAACCTCTTTCTGAACTTCAAATTCTTTCCTATCATTTTCATAAAAATTCCCTCTTAAGAAGCTGGCCAGATAATTAATTTGTGGAACCACCATCTATAATTCTCACAGATTGGTGATTAAGGCATCATGGTACTGGGTTGGGGGCAGTCTTTCATCACCTGTCTCACTGTCCAGATGGCCCAATAAGTAGAGGCCAGGCCAGGCAGAAGCCAGGAGCCCAGATCTTATACCAAGATTCCAATGTGGCTGGCAGGGACCCAGGCCATCTTCTGCTGCTTTCCAGCCACAGTTGCAGGGAGTAGGATCAGAAGCATGGCAGCAAGGACTTGATTAGGCGACCACATGGAATTCAACTCTCAAGGGCAGAGGCTTCATTTCCTTTGTCACAATGCCAGCCCTATTCTAATAACTTTTATATAAGCCCCAAATACATGATAGCGTAATGGCTAAGATCCTTGAATGCACCGGGATCCAATATGGGCGCCGGTTCTAATGCCAGCCGCTCCACTTCCCATCCAGCTCCCTGTTTGTGGCCTGGGAAAGCAGTCGAGAATGGCCCAAAGCTTTGGGACCTTGCACCTGTGTGGGATACCTGGAAGAAGTTCCTGGATCCTGGCTTCGAATCGGCATAGCATTGGCTGTTGCGCTCACTTGGGGAGTGAATCATTGGACGGAAGATCTTCCTCTCTGTCTCTCCTCCTCTCTGCATATCTGACTTTCCAATAAATAAATAAATCTTTAATAAATAAATAAATAAACAGCCTGTCATAGATTTATTTGAATCCTGCCTGTTAGTTATCTTGGGAAGGCCAGACCAAACAATTTCATAGGCTTTAGATTTCATAGGCATGCAAAACAATGTTCCCTCCGCCTGATGCAGCACAATAGCATAAGCAATACAAAGCTGTTCATACAGTGCTGGCACATAGTAAACACTCAAGCCCATTCCTGAAGCCACCCATTAGTAACATTTCCCCTGCCAGCAAGTCCTTATGATGCCACCAAAACACAAGGCAACAATATGAAAATGGGTTCACTCTCCATTCCTCAATTAGGAGTGAATCCACTACAGAGTTAGGCAAGACCACAGCAATTTCAAGCAAATATTTTAAACCCAACCAACATCAAACACTGCTTATGTACTTCTTCAGAAACTTTACTAAACTTGAAGTCCTAAGTTTTGAAGACATAGTTTATATAAAGCAGAAGTGAGGGATTTCTAGCCTACTGGCCACATAAGACCATCAAAATCAGTTCAGTTTTTTTCTGGCTTACCAAGCGAAATCAAACATACATATATATATATATATATATATATATATTTAAATATATCTATAGCAGAGTAATTTTCAAGTGGACTGGAAGTGGAGCAGCCGGGACAGCAACTAACATCCATACGGGAGGGATCCTGGCATGTGCAAGGCGAGGATTTGAGTCACTGGGCTACCATGCCCCACCTGTGACTTTCAGGTTTCAACGTTGTGAGTCACTTAAAAATTTAACAAAGATCATACCTGTTCCCCTTTCTGGTTTATCTGGTTACTGTAAACACTATGTTTCTAAATATACTACAAGCCACGAAGCTACAGGAATCCTGGTCCCAGAATTGCTAATTAGATTAAAGAACTACAATTAAAAAAAAAAAAAAGACTAAAGAACTACAACTAGATACACAATAATTCTAGATACTACAATGGGGCTGTTTGAAAGATGTTCCCAGACTCATTTTTTACAAGAACTTCCTTTACTCTTTGTACATGGTTGTATAGGATCCTTTCACCATTGTACAGTACTTTTTTTCTTTAATTTAAATAGATTTTATTTTATTAAGATTCATCCATTTTTATTGCAAAGTCAGATATACAGAGGAGAGACAGAGAGGAAGGTCCTCCATCCGATGACCCCCCACTGCCCAAGCGGCAGCAAAGGCCAGAGCAGTGTCGATCTGAAGCCAGGAACTCTTTCGAGTCTCCAACGCAGGTACAGGGTCCTAAGGCTTTGGGCCATCATCGACTGCCCTCCCATGCTACAAAAGCAGGGAGGTGGATGTGAATCAGGGCTGCCCTGCCGGGACTAGAACCGGTACCCTAGAACCACTAGGCCACCACGCCAGGCCCCGTACAGTACTTTTAAAGTAAAGCATCTACCTGAGGTGCTAGCATGGCAGTACAGCAGGTTAAGACATTGCTAGGGATACTTGCATCCAATATAGGCGCTGCTCTCTATATAATTAAGCTCCCTGCTAATGCTCTTGGGAAAGAAGTGGAAGATGACCCAAGTACTTGTGGCCCGGCCACCCCTGGATGGATTTCTAGTTTCCTGGTTTCATCCTGACCCATTGCTGGCCATTGCAGCCATCTGGGGAATGAAGCAGCAGATGGTAAATCTGTTTTCAAAATAAATGTTTTGTAACAAAGTTATTTGAAAGGCAGAGAAACAGAAATGGAGAGAGCTACCATCTACTGGCATACCCCAACTGCAAATGACGGTAACAGCCAAGAACTCAAACCAAAGCCGCCGAAAGGGTGGCAGGAACCCAACTTTCTAAGCCTTCACATTTGTCTTCTAGGGCCTACCAAGAGCAGGAAACAAGAATTGGAAACTGATGCTTGGAGACAAACCCAGGCACTCTGATCTAACTACCAGGGCAAAAGCTGAGTGTCCCCATGTAATACTATGTTTTTATGTGTATGTGAAAAGCAGAACAACGGGTTTTTCCATCTACTCAGTCACTTCTTAAATGCCCATAAAGCTGGGGCTAGGCCATACCAAAGCCAGGACGCAGGACTCATTGCTGGAGTCATTATCTACTACCTTCCAGGACACACATTAGCAGGAAGCTGGTTTGGCATTCCAATGAGGACTCAAACCCAGGCAATCGGCTATGAGATGTAAGCTTCCCAGGCAACAACTTAAACACCAAGCAGCCACCTACTTTCATTTTTTTTAAGATTTACTTTCCTTTTTATTGCAAACTCAGATACACAGAGAGGAGGAAAGACAAAGAGAAAGATCTTCCATCCAATGATTCACTCCCCAAGTGACTGCAAAGGCCGGTGCTGCGCTGATCTGAAGCCAGGAGCCAAGAACTTCCTCCAGGTCTCCCACACGGGTGCAGGGTCCCAAAGCTTTGGGCCATCCCGACTGCTTTCCCAGGCCACAAGCAGGGAGCTAGATGAAAATCTGGGCTTCCAGGACCAGAACTGGTACCCATATGGCATCCTGGCGTGTTCAAGACGAGCACTTTAGCTACTAAGCCACCACGCCGGGACCATTTACTTAATTTTAAAAACTATTTTGGCCTGGTGCAGTAGTCTAGCAGCTAAAGTCCTCTCCTTGCATGCTCCAGGATCCCATATAGGCACCAATTCTCATCCTGGCAGCCCCACTTCCCATCCAGCTCCCTGCTTGTGGCCTGGGAAAGCAGTCAAAGACAGCCCAAATTTTTGGGACCCTGCACCCGCACGGGAGACCTGGAAGAAGCTCCTGGCTTCAGGCTTCCGATTGGCTCAGCTCCAGCCATTGTGGCCACTTGGGAATGGGTCAGCAGATGGAAGATCTTACTCTCCATCTCTCCTCCTCCTCTCTGTATATCTGCCTTTCCAATAAGAATAAATACATCTTTAAAAAAAATACATTTATATATTTAAAAGGAAGGGGAAGAGTATCTTCCATCAGCTTATTACTCCCCAGATGCTGGCAATAGCCAGGCCTGACCTCCCACATGGGTGACAGGAACCCAACTCCTGAAACTAGCACCTGCTGCCTCCCAGGTGGGATTAACAGCAAGCTGGACTGGAAGCAGACTTGATTCCAGGTACTCCGACATGGTGTAGTAGATTGGTGTTTTCTATCAAGCTCCATAAAACTGAGTTTTCATACACATGTTTTATTGAGAAATAAAAATCATTAATGCTACTTATCTGTTTTTGGTATATGTGCAATACTTCAGATCCTTATTAACTGCTATGGTTTGAGTATCTCTCAGCCATCATCTGGGAGTTTAACTCTCAAAGTCTCACATTAATAGAGGAAAGAAAATCTAATTCAGGTGTGTAAGGGTAGACCTTTGGAGGTGATGAGCTTGGATTCAGTCTTTAAGAAGCTCTCACAATTGATCCTTGGTGGGTTTATAGTGAAAGAAGGACTGACGGGCAGAGAACAAGCACTCGTTCTCTTTCCCCACAGGATGGTCTGCACTGCCCGTGGACCCTGTAGGAAGATCGCCATGACCAGAGCTTGAGCCAACCGGAGCACCCAGCCTTGGACTCTGACCTTGAGGAACTGTGAGGCAAAGTAACCTGGTTGCTTTACAAAGTTCGCTCACCTCAGGCATTTAATTTATTATTAGAAACCCAATGAACTAAAACCCTATAAAATGAAATATACTCACCACCCGCGATTTTCAGAAAATCTTCACCTGTTGCTTTGTAAACCTAAGGAAAGAAAAGCAGCACAGGTTTTCTTAGCCTCCTATGGACATTACTATCCACTGAAGATGTCAATGGTGTTATGCAGGACATACCTCAATATACCGGGTTCCCATGTGATGCTTGTGCCTCTGCAGTGCTAGGTCTCTGTGCTCTTCACTCACAAACCGAACCAGAGCCTCTCCATTCCTTCGACCCTGAGCGTTCAGACAAAGTGCTGCACCTCCCCTTTGAAAGGAACAAAACAGATGGCAGGTGGAAAAAAATGAGAAGTGGGGAGAAGAGGACAGGAAACCCTTTTCCTCTTTGGGATTGTTAAGTATGAATGAGAGTAAAGAAGACCAACTTGGCAATATTGAGTCCTTTGAAGAATCTTGCAATATCTTGATCCGAAGACTGCCATGGTAAACCTCGGGCCCTGACTACAGTGTTATCATCAATAAGTTCCATCTTGCTGCTGTGGATGAAGCAAAACTCCAGGTCGCACAACTGATCAATGCGCACACGCAAAGTCTACCATAAAATATCTCCCTTCTCAAACCAACAAGCCATCTCAGGGTGTTTAGCGAAATGTTCAGGGGTCACATAGCATATATTTTGGCAACTTTGGTATTCCATCCCTCCCATGTTCATATTTTCGGTACTCTTAGGACATCTTCCCAGTGGATCACCTTCTCTTCACCTGAACAGGACTCAAAGTCTCTCAGTAAGCCACAGTTTCTACTCACATTAGGCACGAGGCACTCTCACGCAGGACACTAACGATTTACAAACTTAACTAGGTCTACCTGTTATCACAAGCAGAGATATCATCGCTTCTCGCCCTTTCCCACCTACTTCCTTTGCTCTAACTCAGAAGCTCATAGACTGTACTTAAACTATTTAAGTAAAAGTCATTACCTGCTTTAAAGCCCATGCTTTAGCCTTTGAAAGTTTTCCAATAAACAGAAAGGACAGATTTGAAGAGATTCACATAAACATCACAGATGTGAACTTTATACTAATAAAGTCATCAAGGGGAAAAAAATGCCAATACCATTAACTTTTAATCTCAAAATCCAAGCATAAACTAAGTGACACAAACTTCTTTTATAGAAGACTGACAAAAGGTTTTGGTTGTGTAAGTTGAGTTTAAACGTCATATTCTGAGCAAAAACAAATCAAAAAGTCCAAGTGGACAATACTAAAGTACTTACCAAGTGCCACTTTCAAATTTGTAATTGACTCTTTCTGGATCTGAAAACCTGTGATCTAAAAATAAGAACATGCAAGTCACCATTTTAGCTGTTAGGGAGACAAAACAATAAGAAGAAATCTCCAACCGTAGGTGAGGGAAAGATGGCAGGATCAGTTCTATTACAGCAGCAACACGTACTGTAAGGCTCCGAGATCATGGCTAGAATTATATTCCCCATATCTTCAACCTGAGAGGCTCCATACCGGGAGACAGAGCTATTCTTCTCAAAGTTTAAATCTGCAACATGAAGTCAAGGAAAAGCCTGGGGAAATAATGAGTTTAACTCAGAAGGAGCCTAGAAGCCAGGTGAAAGGCATCTAGAAAATTTTGCATGAAACTGAAAAGGGTTGTTCCCATCACTCAGGATTGCAGCTTTGTTCCTTCAGGTCTCTAACTGCCCTCTCGGTTGGAACAGCCAAATTGATCCCACTCTGGGATGTGCAATAATTACAATTGTTTCTTAAGCAATCATAAACACTTAAATCCTTAGCACTTTTAGTTTCAAACTATCAAGCATACAACGAGAGTAATTAGATTTGTTCCACGTATTATTCTTATACACACAGCAATGATCACGCTACATGTCGCTCAAGACTGTGGGGTATTAATGACTTTCTCTAATATTCGAAAGGGAGTAAACTGAAGTTTCAACATCAGTAAATATTAATTCTTTGAGAGTACATTTTGAATGTAGTTTCTACGCCTTTCAGTTAAGATCAATTAGAGTACATTTCTTTTTTTTTTAAATTTATTTATTTATTGGAAACTCAGATATACAGAGGAAGATCTTCCGTCCGATGATTCACTCACCAAGTGAGCACAACGGCCAATGCTATGCCGATCCGAAGTCAGAAGCCAGGAACCTCTTCCGGGTCTCCCACACGGGTGCAGGGTCCCAAAGCTTTGGGCCGTCCTCGACTGCTTTCCCAGGCCACAAGCAGGGAGCTGAATGGAAAGTGGAGCTGCCAGGATTAGAACTAGCGCCCATATGGGATCCCGGCGCATTCAAGGCGAGGAATTTAGCTGCTAGGCCATGCCGCCGGGCCCTAGTGTACATTTCAGAGACAAATCAAGCATTCTGAAGCAACATTGGCACTGAACAAGGCAGTACAGTGTTTGGGTCAATTAGGCCATGTGGTTTTCAAGAAACAACATGATTCAAGTTCAGTGTCAGACAGCTCCTTGAAGCTACACAAATGAGCAATCTCTCTAAAACAAATATGAATCTGTATCAAAAAAGTCACCAGAACAAAAGTTAACAATCACTGGGAAGTGTAATGTCACTTCCAATACTATGAGTACATTTTTTACTATCTTGTAAATCCCCATAAATTGAGTAATGCGGTACATTGTCAATTAAAGTTGATACCATGGGACTTTAGCTTTTCTCTCAAATTTAAATGAAAGCTTGGTGGGAGTTGTGTGATCAGTGGTGAGCACATGGCTATGTGCATCCTGTACTGGAGTGCTATGATGGGTGTGTTAACGGAAGCACGTCCTGCGGATCAGCACATGAGGACTCAGACGACAGCGAGGGCCCATGTGCTGATGCAAGAGGGACCTGCATGGAGCTCCTTCGATCCTACCCAGCCCTGGGAAGTCAACCAGCAGATGAGATCCTCCAAGTCTCAGACCACCTTCAAATAGGGGGAAAAGAGTATCTTTAAAAACTGTTAGTTCATTCCCCCAGATAGTGGCAATGGCTGGAGCTGGGCAGATCTGAAGAAAGGACCCAGGACTTGTGCCAAGTCTATGTGGGCAGCAGGGGCCCCACCACTGGGGTGATCTTCTACTACTTTCCCAGGCACATTAGCAGGGAGCTGACTTGGAGGTAGAGAGAAGTCAGGTCCTGACCTGGCACCCATACAGGATGGTGATACCACTGGCAATGGCCTTACATATTAGGCCACAGCGCCACTACCATTTTACAAACTGCACTTTTTTTTTTTAAGATTTATTAATTTTTATTGGAAAGTCAGATACACAGAGGGGAGGAGAGACAGAGAGGAAGATCTTCCACCTTCTGAACCACTCCCCAAGCAGCCACAGTGGTTGGAGCTGCAATGATCTGAACCCAGCAGCCTGAAGCCTCCTCCGTTATCTTTCATGCAGCCGCAGGGTTCCAAGGCGTTGGGGCCATCCTCGACTGCTTTCCTATGTCACAAACAGAGAGCTGGACAGGAAGCAGGGCTGTGGGGATTAGAATCAGCGTCCATTTGGGATCCTTGTGCATGCACTAGGCTACCACGCTGGGCACTAAACTGCATTTTCTGCTAATTTTTTCAAAAAATGAAGATATAAGGGTCCTAATGCACTACTTCATTAACAAAAAAATTAAAAGATTGCTCACCAAGAATTCCTCCCAAGAATTACAGCTAGATATCTGAAAGTCCATTCAATTAGTAATTTCTTTTTCAATTCTCAACTTCACACGCCTTTCCATTTCATCCTCTTACTTGCTCCCTCCTTTCCCAGTAAGCAAACATTCTTCACACAGCAACTGAAAGCTTAGTTTTCATGTTGTCCCTCAGCCATTTCCATTCCTCTGCAGTTCAACACACAACCTGTAGAAATGCAGCAATATGTTCCTTGGCAAATTCCTTGCCCCCACTAAACTACAGCCTATCTGCAAAGCCACAGCAGTGACAATCCTCACTTCCCTGGCCTTTTTGTGAAGATTGAGGAAAAACAAAACCGGAGCACAAAGCAGTCTTTTAATAAGAGATGCCCTCCTTTTCGGCCTTCTTCCCAGAACCCTTAGATAGCCACTTTCACAGCCTGTGGAGATCGGGTTTAAGAGGGTCATAATTAAAACAGAAAGCTGGGATTTCCCATGTGCCTGTGCGTACTCTCTCATAGGAGTCATCATAAAATGAAAGTGATAGCTGACTGCCAGCACCCTCTGTGCCCCTAACGACATGCAGTGGTGCACCTCATGTCCGCTGAAGGGTCAGAAAAAGTAATGGTAGGATTTTTCAACCAAGACAAATGACCACCAGCCGGGACTGAGAAAGCAATACTATCATCTCTCCACGCAGTGCCATTTTAAAACAATACAGTATAAGGACCAGAAGTCAGAGTCAAAAGACAGAAGATACTTTGGAGAACAAACTGTTCTAAGTTCTCTGGGGAGCTAGGAAGAACTTAAAGAGTCCTTAGAAAACCATGTGAGAAAGACTAGCTTATAAAGTCTCTTACAGGAGCACGAGCCTGCACTGTGGTATAAACGTAAAGCTCTCACCTGCAGCACCAGCATCCCACAGAGGAACTGGTTAGAACTCCAGCTGCTCCACTTCCCATCCAGCTCCCTACTCACACACCTGGGAAAGCAATGGAAAAAAGCTTAACTGATCGGACCGCTGCCCCCGTGAGGGTGAGCTGGAGGAAGCTCCTAGCTTCTGGCTTTGTCCTGACCCAGTCCTGGCTGTTGTGCCGTTTGGGGAGCACATCAGCAGATAAAAGACCTCTCTCTTTCTCTGCCTTTCAAATAAATGAAATAAATCCTTTAAAAAAAAAAAAAAAGGGTAGTACCAAACAATCAGCTGGAACCCTCACGTTCCAATAGCATTTTCAGTTTGACAGGAATCCACTGTGGAACTAAAAGTATCCAAGAAATCTGGGCCCAGCATGGTGGCCTAGTGGCTAAAATCCTCGCCTTCAACGCACCAGGATCCCATATGGGCGCCAGTCCTGGCAGCCCAGATTCCCATCCATCTCCCTGCTTGTGGCCTGTGAAAGCAGGTGAGGACAGCCAAAGCTTTGGGAGCCTCCACTCACATGGGAGAGCAGGAAAAGGCTCCTGGCTTCAGATCAGCGCAGCTCTGGCTGATGAGGCTGCTTGGTGGTTAATCAGTGGATGGGAGATCTTCCTCTCTGATTCTCCTCCTCTGTATATCTGACTTTCCAATTTAAAAATTTAAAAAATACATTCTTGGGCCCGGCACAATGGGCTAGTGGCTAAAATCCTCAACGCCCAGATCCCATATGGGCGTCGGTTCTAATCCCGGTGGCCCCGCTTCGCAGCCAGCTCCCTGCTTGTGGCCTGGGAAAGCAGTCGAGGACGGCCCAATGCTTTGGGACCCTGTACCCCTGTGGGAGACCTGGAGGAAGTTCCTGGATCCTGGCTTCGGATCGGCATAGCACCGGTCGTTGTGCTCACTTGGCGAATGAATCACTGGACAGAAGATTTTCCTCTCTTATGTCTCCTCCTCTCTGTATATCTGACTTTGTAATAAAAAATAATCTTTATGTAAAAAAATACATTCTCGCATCATTATCATGAATGTGTTTTTCATGACTTATTAAGACTCCTTTTGGCAGAGGTTTCAGCAAATTTCTACACTTGAATAAACACATCTTCTAGTTTCACTTCCAATCAGCCATCGGAAATACTCTGAAATGAGCTAGTTTCTCAATCTTGGTAATTACTGGGATATAACCAAACAATTCTTCGCTCACGTACTGTAGGAATCTTACCTGGTTTCTATCCACTGCCCAGTCAAGACAACTGAAACATACCCAGGCACGGCCAAAAGTTCCCAAGTGGCAAAAAATCTCACAAGGTTGAATACAAACACAGTTCCAAATTTATCTTTGGTTAATTTTACTACTTTCCTCTCTCCCTTTGGACAGATTTTGTTTTTACTGGATAGAGAATTTTACCAAAAATTGTCCAGGTAAACAATGCATAAGGCCCAGATGGATGCAATGTCAGAATAGTGAGATGCGTAAGAGTCCTGCGACATAGCAGCCCTTACAGATGCCAGGAGGAAAGTGCTCAGAGCAGGTGACTACCTTGACCCTCGGTCTATCTGTGGGCAACCCAGAGCAAAGAATGGAATTTTATCTTTTTATATTATTACAGGACTAGAAAAAGAAGAATGTAAGCGAACACCATATGAGGTCCCCAGAACCCCAAATACTGACTATCAAAAAGAGGTAGTGGCCAGGAGAGCGCCAAAAGAGGGTCAACACAGAGAATGTAAAAGAAATGTTTTCCACATCCTAACTTTCCATCCAAAGAGAGAACATTGTGGGAAAAATCAAAGTCGAAGAATAAGAGTACAAAAGCCTATTCCAGTTAAAGTACTTCCTCATAATGGCAAGGGAGACCTGGCCCTCTCACCTTTACTCAGCTCACTCACTACAACGCATGCTTATCTTCTTAATCCCCTAACCAAATTAGACCGTGAGTAATTCCCTACTAGCACCAAAGCCTAACTGCTTCAGTTCACAAC